TATGTGTGTATGTGTGTGTATGTGTGTGTATGTGTGTCTGTGTGTGTGTGAGTGTGTGTGTGTGAGTGTGTGTGAGTGAGTATGTGCCCCCTCAGTGTGACCACGGTTGGTGGTAACTTCTAAACCCTAATAACCCCTCCGCGGACAGTAGTAATTTCTAAGATTCCTGTAACTTCTCTAAGATTTCCGGATGCAGTATCTGCCTATTAATCCGATTGCGGAGTGCCTTTCCCTCTACCCCTCCCGGTATGATGTGGGGCTTCAGTCGTCGTCTGTGGTTCGCCTCACCCCTCTGCGGGTCCCTCTCAGCTCGCATCAGCCGCCATCATCGCCGTCGTGGCCATCATCATCATGATTATTACACACGTCAGCATTACCGTTATCGGAACGCGAATAACGACCATAACTTACAACTGCCATTCCGCCGCCAAAACCTCCAACTAACTGCAGATCAGCGCTTCTGCGAGCCCTGCTCGTCCGGTCTTCCCCGCCATCGCGGCGATGACGGCGGCGGCAGCAGCAGCAGCAGCAGCAGCCGGAAGCAGCGGCGGCAGTAGCAGCTATGTTCCGCCGGATTTCGTGTCGACGGGTGGCGCCGCCAACTGTAGAGTCCCTCGTACGGCTGCAGAGCCCCGGGCACCGGACGCCGATGCCGACACCGACACAGCTACAGCCGGCGGTGTACGGCCACACGTCAGCAGCCATGCGCTACTGCTGTCTCCTTGTACGGACCGCTCCGGGATGACGACGCCGCTCTTCAGCTCGCCGCCGCCGCCGTCGGTAGGGGTAGGCAGGGGGGACGGCGTCAGGGGCGCCGAAGGCCGCGGAGCAGGTATTGCGTCGACGACGGCGGCGAACACGGTGAACGCGGCGGAGGCGGCGGAGGCGATTAAGATTTGGTGGGCCGAGGGGCAAGGCGGCGGCGCTCTGGGGCAGATCCCGGGCAGCGGCGAGAGAAGAGGGGATCTGCGTTTGGGTGAAGGAGCCTCGGCGGCGGCGGAGCGCTTTCATGCTGTACGGCAGGCCGTCGACGGAGAAGCAGCGGCGGCAGCGGCGGCGGCAGTGGCGGCAGTGGCGGGACCGTCTGAATCCGGTGCGGGTAGCGTGGTCGATGGCCGCCGCCGTCGCAGCGCCGGCGGCGGCGGCGGTGGCGGCGTTCTCAGGGCGGGGGGGATTGATTCGTATTCTGGCAGCGAAGGCGGCGGCAGCGGCGGGTACGACAGCGCCGCCAGCGGCAGCCGTGAGCCGTCTTTAGCGGCGGAGTCGGCACCTTCAGAGCTTTCCTTCAACAGCCTCCTGGGCCCTGCGAGTTTTAAATCGTGAGTGGGTTGTTGTTGTTATTGTTATGAGCGGCGTGAAGGGACGCGGGTGTTCTGTGCAGCAGTCAAAATCAGGATTAGATTGAAGATGAAGGGTCGGGATGCTCTCGCTATATATATATACGTCTACAGCGTCACTAACTGCCGTACTTAATATTTAGTCAATATATTTCGTCGATATAACGACTAACGGCTAACGACTAAATTTGTACCTCCATAAGTATATAATTCCTATTCCTAAAGTCAGGGCTTGGGATTGGCAACTGGATTTGGGTTTGGATTTGGAAGTTTAAAAGTTTGATTCATGTCGCCATGGTGCGAAAACCAGCTCGTCGTTTTTGGCGAGGTTTTTGCGATGTGTTGCGATGTGTTGGTAACAAGTTTGAATTCAAGTTGATATAGGCTATAGGCCTAGGACCTCTTGAGCTCAGCGCCTCAGCTCGGCCACTGGGTGGGTGGGCTGGACGCGATCTCCCGCAGCCGCGGCTGCCGTACTGATGTCGTACCAAGATAAAACTATCGACTTACATCCGTTCATATTGCTGCTATTATGCGGCCGTCTGCTATTACGCACGTCCCCCAGAGCTCAGTCACGTGCTTTCAGTAGGGCGGGGTCTTCTAGCAGCTTCGGATCAGGGCGCGGCAACGGCAACGGCAACGTCAACGTCAACGGCGTTCTCGCCGACAGCGGCGGCAGCGGCGCGGCGTCGCCGCCGGTGGGCCTGCTGCCGTACTTGGAGGAGGACGTTGCGGCGGAGGCCGACGTCAGCTGCGAGCCAGACATCCCCAACTTAGATCCCCAATCCCAGCGGATGGCTGCCGGACGCCAGCCCGCTCCATTGCGTACGACAGAGCCCCTGGCGGCGGCGGCGGCGGCGGCGATCGCCGTCACTGCTGGGCCTGCAGGTGGTTCGCCTCCGCTGCCGAAGCCGTTGCATGACGACAGCCTCCGTACACAGCAGGGTGCCGGCAAGTTGTCGACGCCGTCAGCGCAGACTGCGGGCTCTCAGGAACCCCCGACGGCGGGATTGGAAGCACGACACGCCTCTATCGCCGCCGGCAACGGCGCCTCCGCTGCCGCGGCGACGGCGACGGCGGCGGCAGCAGCTGCTGCGGCGGCTTCTCCCGGCGCTGCGGCGACGNACGCCGTCAACGGCAGGTGTCCGACTACCGGCAGTGGCGGAGGTAAGGTGGCAGGAACTAATGGAGGCGCTCGGGAACAACAGCGCGGCGCGCCGCCGCCGCCGCCGCCGCCGCTGGTCGTCGTCGCGTCCGCCGCTAACCCGCCGCCACCGCCGCCAGTGATATCAGCGCGCCACCGCCTTGACCCCCGCAAGCACCAGTGAGTTGTTGGCAGTTAACGGTTAGAGTTTACAACGAAACGCAGTTAACGTTGTTGCCGTACATGGTTGGAGGATTAATGGTTTCGGAGGTGCATACACCCCCGGCGATGGTGCAGTTTACCCGCCATATGTACGGCGATCGGGCTCCACCCGAGTACTGATTTGCGCTCTCTCACTCTTCTCTCCCTCACCCTCCCCTAAAACACGCACACACACACGCACACACGCACACACGCACACACACACACACACACGCACGCACGCACACACACGCCCCCCTAAAACACCCCAGGTTCCTGTGTCTCAACATGGCCTGGATCCCGGGCATCTTGGCTCTCACGGACTGCACCATGGGACTGGCCTCGGGCATGACCATCAAGTTCTTCCCGATATTCTTCAAGGACGAGGTAGGGTTTCAGGGCTTCAGGCTCGTTCTCCAGCAGGGTCTTTCTCCACCCCTCCCCACGTTGCCGCGGCGATGACTGCAAACCCACGGGTCACTACGGGTCACTACCTAAGGA